TATCCTTGTCTTTTGCAGTTGCACCACTATTTGTGATTGAGTTTCTCCACAGAGTTGTGGATACAATTACAGACTACTTCTCGTCATGCACAGAGTCAATAATAAAGGACCAAATTGTGGTTGTTTATGAGGTAATGAGTCAAATAAACAAGCAAACCTTGGCATGAATCGCCTAATGATGACTAGGCGTCTGAATCATCTTTATATGACAAACGACAGTTATATGACAATTATATGACAATTTTATATTCCGTTTTTAAATCTTACATCCCTTTTAACTAAAAGAATCTTTCATTTTTATGACAATTTTTTAGAAAAATTTTTGGTTTTTGTAGGAAAAAATATTCATTTAACAGTTTTCTCTAACACTGGTTAATAGTCTAATAAAAATTTGCATTTATTTTTTTATTTTTTATTTTGAGTGTTCTCGAACTCAATCAACTTGTTTCTTCCATTCTTCTCTGTTGTTCATGATATTTGTCAGCTTTTGATTTGTTATGCCAGTATCTTTTATCAGTTGATATTTTATGTAATAGATGGTCTTCCTTCCTTTCGATTTCCATGTTTAGTTCCCCAAAATTTGCATACTGTAATTTTATGCCTACATTGCTGTGTCTGGTGACCTTACTTATTTTGAGGAAAAATGCATTATTTAATAGTATTTTATTTTGAACTTAATCATCCTTTTCGTTGTTACCTGGAACTTTCATCCAAACTTTTATCCTACTTCATGCAATATTCAAATGATCCAGTTTTGTTTGATCCCTAGTTGCTGGATGAGATGCTTGATAATGGCTGTCCACTGGCCACTGAAAGTAATATCCTAAAAGAGTTGATTAAGCCACCAAGTATCATGAATCGTGTTGTCAACACTGTTACTGGAGGCACAAAGTAAGCCAAAATTACCTCTAAATCTTATTTTTGGTATTCGCCATAAAAGTACATTTGGATTGGCTCTTTTCTTCCTTGAGGATTATTCGTCAGTTGTTACTGCCTACCCATGTTCTTGGAAACTTTTCATTCTAATATTGTAGTTTTTGTGGCATTCTGTCATTTTTGGTCTATGTAAGTGCTCAAATTTCCCTAGCAAAAATTTCGTACATATACCTTTCTTCCCCACATTTAAACGCAGTATGTTAGCAAAGGTTGTAGTTGTACTGTTAAAGCTTCTGACGAGATGCTGACGTTAAATTATTTGTGCATTGATCACTTTTGACCTAACTGCACTCCCCTAACGGTCTGTAAAATATGAGTTAGTTGCGTGGTGCTTTCATTTCTTCAGTTTCCTGTGTCCTCTGTCGCGATCTTTAGCCAAGTTTCCATCATATTTCCTGGGCTCACAGATGTTTAGGCTGTTAAAGATTTGAAGACAATATTACCAGACCTGTTAAATTTCAATGAACACTTGAAACCTATGATGTGGTTTAATTTGTTCTTAGTGTAAGCGGTCATTTGCCAACGGGCTCGTTATCTAACATCCCTTGGAGGAGAACCGGTGTCAAATATACAAGCAATGAGGTGAGTGTGAGGGATGATATTAAGCCTGAGACATGTTTTATTGCTTTATTTCATCAACCTACATTTTACTAAACTAAGCGTAAGAGTTTCAAATAACTCTACAGTTTTACTGACTTTGGCTTCAATCATAATGCCAAAGGAAACTCTTTAAATATTGGTATTATTTTCAGCCAATTTTAGATATTTTGTATTATTTATATTATGTTCAAATTCATATGGGCAATATGTGCTAGTAGATTGGTTCTTCGATTAAAAGATACAATCAACACCGCGAGTCTTTCATCCGTGAAGGAACGTAGAGCAAATCCCTTTGCAGCACTATCATTTTTAATGATACAAAGTTCTTGATAAAACTGATGTAATAATCGGCAATAAGACACAAGAATGGTCGATTTCTCAGGCTCATCATACAAGAACACTTAGGCCCAATTCACACTGCTCCATTTTCGTATGGATATAGAGTAACACAAATCTGTTTTTGCCTTGCGTTCACCTGGCTATGCTATGAACACGGAGTCATTTGAAACACAAATGAATACGGATACATTTTGGAGTGCTTGCTGCATAAGCTCCGTTTGCAGTATGAAGACCACGAATATAACATTTGAATAGGCTATTTACTGTAACATACGTCTGGCGCGCTGAATTTCAAACGGTCACTGTTACAAAAGTGTTATTTACAGAAACATCTGAATGTTTTGATTGCATATTTTGGCGCCAATTTGACGACGTTTCGTGAAAACCTCTGTTCAACAACGAGGTTTACAGCAGCTTAATTATCGGATCAGTATGAATTGAATACTTACCGTATTCGTAACATATTCATTTGAAAACGGATCAGTGTGAATTGACAACGGTTTCGTCAACGAACACAGGGATAAGTTGATACGGAGTCCTAAACAGCAACCTCTTTAGTGCCATTAAAAGTTCCTGTTCAATAGCTTCTCTAACAAAGTTTCAACTTTATCTATTGCAGAAAGTGGAAAATTTAGATATACTTCTGTAAGTTATATACAAGGTAGCAAATCTTACAATAACGAAATTTTTAGTCAAACTACATATTGTTTTATGTAGATATTTTCTTTTACCTTTTCCACAGTTTTAAGACTTTCTTCACAAAAAATCTGCTCACCGATTTTTGCGAAACTTCAACTAAGATATGTCCTTTCGCTTAACTTTACTAGTCGAACTATAAAAGCTGCAATATACTTGCAATTTAATTGAAGGACCAAGGCACACGAATTAGGGTTTTCTGGCTGTAATCCATAAAAAATCGCAAATCCGTAACCCGCATTGGAAAATATAAACAATGCTGCAAACCCGTAAACCTATAACAGCTCCCCCCCCACCCCATTATGCTTGGCGTAGAAGTGAAATCTTATTGCAACTATTTATTTACTTTCTTGATATTCATTATTCTTTTTCTTCTTATTTTCTCTTGCAGATTTACTTTGACGTTATTGAAGAAATCGACTGTATTATTGACAAAAATGTAAGTGTTGTTGATTTTGAGATTATACAGACGAATACTTTCAAAATGAATTCATCAAATTCCTCCTCTTAAATGACCGGATAGTTTTCTTTTTTGTTGCAATTTGCATAGGGAATCATTCTGCTTTACAAGGTCTTGCCAAATGACTAAAGAAATTAAAGCTGGCTGTAATGGCTTTGTTTTTACCCGCGCATCAGTTTTTCTGAAAAGAAGACTAACGATTAATTGCAAAAAGATTAATTGTGTTGCAAAAGATTAATTGTCAAGCCGAAACCAAACTGCTGAAAATGACCTACGCTCGCCAGCTAAATTTCATTGGACACACCTTGAGACATGACAGCCTCGAAAAGACTTTCCTCCTTGGCATGATTCATGGCAAACTAGACGAAGAAAACCAAAAAATCGACTCAGTGACCACATTGAAAAAAATTGCGATTGGACACTGAAGGGGATTGACAGACTTACACAAAATCGGAACAATGTAAAGCTTATGGATAGGACATGCCTGCTCGGAACCGAGCTCTCCGTTCTTGATGATAATGACCGGCTTTGCACTGGGCTTTAATGAGCTAGCAGAAGAGTCTGCACGATTCCTTAAAGTATTAATTGTCACAAAGAAGCTTCATTTGTTATTAAACTCATATAGCATAACGATTTACTCAATTGGATATCATGCTGTTCTCTCCGGTTATTTGCTCAAATGTGAAACAATTCTTGAAGTACATTAGTGACATCACACTATGAACATTTTTGATTGAAATTCCGCAATATTTGTTTCATTCTCTGCAATATCTTCATTTTTTTGTTGGTAATTTGTTTTGCTCTTTATTTGCTAGGGATCAGCCGTATTTGTAGAGATTCAGGGGACGGTATGTTCAGTTTCTTATTGTTCATTCTTTCCATCAGTTCTATGGTAACGTTTTGAGGCATCATTGGTATCTACATTAACTCGTTTTGTTTAAAAATGCCATCGAGTTTGAGATATATTCGAGTCTTATTATTTCATTGATACGAAAGAGTCTCAGCTATGCCAATTTCTAACAGAAATAGACTGTTTGCAACTTTCTTGGAATATCCATTTTTATGTTAATGATATTTGCTTTTTTCCATTTTCTATTTTGTACATATTTTCTGATTACTGACCATTGATGCCTTTGTGTGTATCTGTGCACTTAGTGAAAAACTCTCATTAACATCTTAGCTTGACAATTTGTTTACTTACGGACATTTTTATTATCGTATACTATCACCACTTGTTATTGTAATTATTTAGCTGTGGAAAACTCCACGCCTATAGTCTGACATCCCAGGTTGGGGAACTTGCACTCGCGCCCAGCTACGCAGCAATTTAGGCTATCAAACTCGCAACCAAAGGAGCTTCACTCGCTCATATGACAAAAAATTACCTCACACATCGCGCTCGTTTACTTCCTAAAGCATTCCTTTTGTGTTAAGTAACAGGTCCTTGAAACTCTCTTTTGTTCTAAAAATTGGTTTATCACTAACTGGTAGTAAAATGCTACTCAAATTAACAATTAAAACCAAGACATATTTTTCTCTTTCTTTTTAACTTTTATACCTCGTAAACCCTTTGCTCTAATTTACTTATCTATCTAAATTATTTTCTGGTACCGTTACTTGTTGTTCTAAATATCAGTATATCATTGCAAAACAGGGCCTCCGATGGCGGCGGGCTAGGATTATGGTTCCTCCCAGTGAACTAGACAATTTTCTATTTTTAAATCTAGGATTATTTTGACTGCATCAATTACTTTATATTAACTTTACGAATTGATATACTATTTTGTGAATTGTTGCAGAAAATGAAATAAATTTTTGTTGCTGAATATTTGAATAAACAAAACGATGGAGAATAACCTCGCGTATAATTTACCAACATATACCTTTTGGCATCCCCATTCCTCATAGAGAATTATACCTGGAGATACCTGAGTTGAAAAAATGATTCCCCGGTTCGTTATGTTGCGAGTGATGGAGGCAGAGCAGAGTGTTATCGGTTTATAAAGAAACTATTTGAAACTTTTGCTTTACTTTAAAGAATTAGCAAACTACAAAGATATATATTTTGGCTTGCAGTTCGCAGCTGAGACCTTCTTTCTGATATGCTCGGAGCTTGGACCTTTTTTCGGATGTGCTCGGAGCTGAGACCTTTTTTCGGATATGCTAGCAGCTCGCACCTTTTTTCGCACGTTCTCAAGTAAAGCCACTCGCAGCTAGGCGTAGTGCGAGTTCTTACACGCTTAGTAACATCACGACTGCAGTTGTAATTTTCGAAGAAAATAAGATCAGGTTTTCTATTACTTTTTTGAACAGGTTGAATGCCTGAGTCGTTTGACAGGAATGCCAGGTAAATACCTCAAAGTGTTTTTATAATTACAAGTGAATCATTTATTTTGAATAAATATTCCCACCATGTAAAGTCGTATTTTGCTAGCACCAAAGCTGTCGTTTAAGATTCATGATTTTGCTCATTTTTTAGCATTTTTGAGAAAATTTAAGCCCTCCCCAACTCGAACTCCCGTTTCAACCCTGCAGATACTTTGTATTACGTTTTCGTTTTTTATTCAATTTTGCAATAAAAGAAGATGGTATTTGAAATTCTACCTATCCATTAATTCAAACAGTGAGAGAATGTTTAGCACCTATTTGCCTCATGATTATATTCGGCGTGAAGCTCAGGGTCTCAACCTAGAATCTTCCTCTTCTCTTTCTTTACGGGATCATCCACTGTGACATATTAGTCAGGAACCAAAAACTATAGTTTAAATTAGTTAGTGGCTTTGCTAGGTGCAGATGAAATCTGGTGTATTCAATATGGTGTGTACAAAGAATGTATGCTGACCCACAATAATCATGTTTTTTCTCTGCTTCTTTAGATCTAACCATGTGTTTTGTAAATCCAAGGCTTCTTGATGACGTCAGTTTCCACCCGTGTATTCGCTTGAAACGATGGGATGTAAGTAAGCTCCTTTTTGGGTTGACAAAACCTTAACTGATTATAAAGATTTCTTTTTATCAATATATGAATTGTGCAGTTTCTGCTGTTTCGATGTAATGTCACGTAAGAAACAGTGGCATAACAGAGGTACCTGGGCCCCTCAGGAACACCACTGAAACGGGACCCCTAGCTGCAGACTGCAAGAAGGTCCCGTCAGATGGTGTTATGCGTGTTAAGCAGAATAGCAAGATACAAAATAATAATACATCTCGTCAATTATGATGACCTGAATTGCATGCTTTATTTAAAGAACTTTGTAAGTTGTTGAAAACAAGGTGAGCTTGAGCGACGTCTTGATAACATGAATATTGAAATATCTTGGGGGCCCTTGTTAATCGGGGGCCCTTGTTGATCGGGAGCCCTTAGTTCTCAAGCTAATGTTCCCTAAACCGCGCTACCTCATTGGTAAGACCCTCGTTTAAGTCACCTGGTCTTTGTCCTACAGAGTGCTCATTATTTAAAAACAGGAAGACAAGAATCATCTTTGTTTTGGAGCATTATTTTCTTTGCTTTCGTTCACTCACTTTTGTCACAACTCCCAGTCATACAACCACAACTGTTTCTGGGTGAAACCTTGCGTTATATTCATTGGAATCCTAAAATCCAAAAAATATATTTTTCAAAAGATCCAACTCTTCAGTTTGCTAGTGACCCAAAAATTAATTTCCATTACCAAAAAATTCACAAGGATTTCTGCGATTTTTAAGAGAACGCGTCTTCTAAACATAGACGAAGTCAGTGGGTGCAAAATGACAAATTTGTGAAATGTTTTTTCCTTTCTAATGTCTCCAACGAAAGAAAGGATGATTGGTAAACAGAGTAGGTCATGTAATTTAGAAGTATGTACTTGTTATAAACAAATTTGGCGGCATGATTAATTATCTTAGCATATTTTAGATTCTCTAAGCGTAATTTTTACCTTTCCTTTCTAGTAATTTTTATTGTTTTGTCTCATTGTAGAGTGAAAAGGTGCTGTCGTTTGTTCCACCTGATGGGAACTTCTGCCTTCTTTCGTACCATATTACCAATTCGTAAGTGATCTTCAATGTTTTGTACTTCTTTTTAGCTTCATCTTTATTGAATATGAAATTTTAAACAGAAATAATGATTGGAAATTTCTGGCTATATTGAAAAAATTCGCAGGTTTTCATTTTTTCCAGAAAAATATTAGATAGTCAAATTGTCAGAACCTAAAGGAACCGTTGAAAATTGAATCAAATCATCAAGCCCGAAGTAGTGATAAACCTTTAGAAAATCATTTCCATGGTACAAGCATATCTGACTGCATACCTGCTATTTTTTCATTTTGCTAATATGATGAGCAGTATTTGCATAGTGACAAAGATGAGCCAAACAAATTATGGTCGCCGTGATTGATTTAAGTAAATTATTATAGTACTGTATCTAAGGACAAAACTGAATGATATGATATAGTTCGGTGCATGTGAAAAAAGTTGTAGAGCAAATTAGCGCTTTTGCGGTGCTGAAATAAAAAGTAATATTTCAAGATTGCTACGAGAAAAGGTACTAGCTAACGGATAGAACTTTAACTTTTTGGAATTTTGTCTTCGATCTAATCGAATCGTAGGTATAGCAGTTTGGTGTAAAGCCTCTTTATAAGAAAACACAAAAGAAGTTGAAAATGAAGTATCGAAATATGATCAAATGTTGGCTCTTATGGTTGTATTGATTTATTCAAGTTGGCTTATCGGGTATCGTCATCTAATCTAGAGTTCAAAATCTCGATAAAATCCTTGAGTTGAAACACCTAGGGGTTAAAGGGCTGTCAGTTTTGGAATAACAAGTAATTTTGGTCCGTTTTAGCTAAGATTCTAAAGGGCTTTTGATAAAGTGACCATATCTTCATGTACAAACCAATGATCTGACCGAGCTTACAAAGATAATGTGCGAGAAGGAAGAGCCGCAGGATAGGCTGTCCGCCGGATTCTGTGAATCTTGCAATTAGTATAATATGAATACGAGAATAAAATTCAGAAACAAAGCAAAACGGCAACGAAAATCCAATGTTGTGAGATAAATTTTTCAAAACAAATTAAATTACACGAATACTAATATTTCGCCCCGGCATACAGGGCTTCATCAGAGTAAATTAAACGAACCAACGGGGCGAAATATTAGTATTCGTTTAATTTAATTTATTTTGGAAAATTTATCTCACAACATTGGATTCTCGTCGCCGTTTTGCTTTGTTTCTGAATTTTATTCTCGTATTCATATTATACTAATTGCAAGATTCACAGAATCCGGCGGACAGCCTATCCTGCGGCTCTTTCTTCTCACACATTATCTTTGTAAGCTCGGTCAGATCATTGGTTTGTACATGAAGATATGTTCACTTTATCAAAAGCCCTTTAGAATCTTAGCTAAAACGGACCAAAATTACTTGTTATTCCAAAACTGACAGCCCTTTAACCCCTAGGTGTTTCAACTCAAGGATTTTATCGAGATTTTGAACTCTAGATTAGATGACGATACCCGATAAGCCAACTTGAATAAATCAATACAACCATAAGAGCCAACATTTGATCATATTTCGATACTTCATTTTCAACTTCTTTTGTGTTTTCTTTTAAAGAGGCTTTACACCAAACTGCTATACCTACGATTCGATTAGATCGAAGACAAAATTCCAAAAAGTTAAAGTTCTTTCCGTTAGCTAGTACCTTTTCTCGTAGCAATCTTGAAATATTACTTTTTATTTCAGCACCGCAAAAGCGCTAATTTGCTCTACAACTTTTTTCACATGCACCGAACTATATCATATCATTCAGTTTTGTCCTTAGATACAGTACTATAATAATTTACTTAAATCAATCACGGCGACCATAATTTGTTTGGCTCATCTTTGTCACTATGCAAATACTGCTCATCATATTAGCAAAATGAAAAAATAGCAGGTATGCAGTCACATATGCTTGTACCATGGAAATGATTTTCTAAAGGTTTATCACTACTTCGGGCTTGATGATTTGATTCAATTTTCAACGGTTCCTTTAGGTTCTGACAATTTGACTATCTAATATTTTTCTGGAAAAATGAAAACCTGCGAATTTTTTCAATATAGCCAGAAATTTCCAATCATTATTTCTGTCTAAAATTTTATATTCAATAAAGATGAAACTAAAAAGAAGTACAAAACATTGAAGATCACTTACGAATTGGTAATATGGTACGAAAGAAGGCAGAAGTTCCCATCAGGTGGAACAAACGACAGCACCTTTTCACTCTACAATGAGAAAAAACAAAAAAAATTACTAGAAAGGAACGGTAAGAATTACGCTTAGAGAATCTAAAATATGCTAAGATATTAATCATGCAGCCAAATTTGTTTATAACAAGTACATACTTTAAACTACATGACATACTCTGTTTACCAATCATCCTTTCTTTCGTTGGAGACATTAGAAAGGAAAAAACATTTCACAAATTTATCATTTTGCACCCACTGACTTCGTCTATGTTTAGAAGACGCGTTCTCTTAAAAATCGCAGAAATCCTTGTGAATTTTTTGGTAATGGAAATTAATTTTTGGGTCACTAGCAAACTGAAGAGTTGGATCTTTTGAAAAAATATATTTTTTGGATTTTAGGGTTCCAACGAATATAACGCAAGGTTTCACCCAGAAACAGTTGTGGTTGCATGACTGGGAGTTGTGACAAAAGTGAGTGAACGAAAGCAAAGGAAATAATGCTCCAAAACAAAGATGATTCTTGTCTTCCTGTTTTTAAATAATGAGCACTCTGTAGGACAAAGACCAGGTGACTTAAACGAGGGTCTTACCAATGAGGTAGCGCGGTTTAGGGAACATTAGCTTGAGAACTAAGGGCTCCCGATCCACCAGGGGCCCCCGATTAACAAGGGCCCCCGATCAACAAGGGCCCCAAGATATTTCAATATTCATGTTATCAAGACGTCGCTCAAGCTCACCTTGTTTTCAACAACTTACAAAGTTCTTTAAATAAAGCATGCAATTTAGGTCATCATAATTGACGAGATGTATTATCATTTTGTTTCTTGCTATTCTGCTTAACACGCATAACACCTCCCTCCTCCTCCTTGAGTCTGCAGCTAGGGGTCCCGTTTCAGTGGTGTTCCTGAGGGGCCCAGGTACCTCTGTTATGCCACTGTTTCTTACTTGACATTACATCGAAACAGCAGAAACTGCACAATTCATATATTGATAAAAATAAATCTTTATTTAAAAAAAGTTAAGGTTTTGTCAACCCAAATAGGAGCTTACTTACATCCCATCGTTTCAAGCGAATACACGGGTGGAAACTGACGTCATCAAGAAGCCTTGGATTTACAAAACACATGGTTAGATCTAAAAAAGCAGAGAAAAAACATGATTATTGTGGGTCAGCATACATTCTTTGTACACACCATATTTAATACACCAGATTTCATCTGCACCTAGCAAAGCCACTAACTAATTTAAACTATAGTTTTGGGTTCCTGACTAATATTTCACATAGTGGATGATCCCGTAAAGAAAGAGAAGAGGAAGATTCTAGGTTGAGACCCTGAGCTTCACGCCGAATATAATCATGAGGCAAATAGGTGCTAAACATTCTCTCACTGTTTGAATTAATGGATAGGTAGAATTTCAAATACCATCTTCTTTTATTGCAAAATTGCATAAAAAACGAAAACGTAATACAAAGTATCTGCAGGGTTGAAACGGGAGTTTGAGTTGGGGAGGGCTTAAATTTTCTCAAAAATGTTAAAAAATGAGCAAAATCATGAATCTTAAACGACAGCTTTGGTGCTAGCAAAATACGGCTTTACATGGTGGGAATATTTATTCAAAATAAATGATTCACTTGTAATTGAAAACACTTTGAGGTATTTACCTGGCATTCCTGTCAAACGACTCAGGCATTCAACCTGTTCAAAAAAGTAATAGAAAACCTGATCTTATTTTCTTCGAAAATTACAACTGCAGTCGTGATGTTACTAAGCGTGTAAGAACTCGCACTACGCCTAGCTGCGAGCGGCTTTACTTGAGCACGTGCGAAAAAAGGTGCGAGCTCCGAGCATATCAGAAAGAAGGTCTCAGCTGCGAACTGCAAGCCAAAATATATATCTTTGTAGTTTGCTAATTCTTTAAAGTAAAGCAACAGTTTCAAATAGTTTCTATACTAGAAATAGCTCTTGCTAGTACTGCCCGCAAACAATTAGTTCCTTGATAATGATTGTTTTGAAAATGTAGGTCAGGATATTCGAAGAAGACACCATCTTGGGTTTTCACAATTCTATAAAAACAGCTGCTCTAGTTGAAGCTAAACTATTCTTTTTATCAAGAATTTTTGGTTTTCAGTTTGCCTTTGATTTAAGTCCAACGCCCTTTTGAAAATCATGAAGTTTTTCGAGGGTTTGACATTTATTTTTCGATAATCACGACAATCATAACTTTTGCTCGTACGGTCTCGAGTTTTTGGGAGAAAAGTGTGGCATTCGACTGGTTTTGATTCCCAAAACTTCGAATCAAAACTTCCATCCATTGCGGAGAACCGAGCTGTGATGCAGCAGCGTTTTCATGCCAAAAAAACCGAAGGCCTTTAACAGAGTCTTGGCAGAGCAACGCTCCGAAGATAATTCCCTTCCGCGCAAAGAGGTGGCGGTTAACGACCTCCTCGACAAAGCCGATTGATTGACAATGAAATTGATTGACAGTTGTCATGGCAGCAGAAAAGTGACAAAATCTGCTGAAAAAGTGCTGACAACATGAACTGAAGCTTCCATATGCTACTTATACGCGGGGCAGACTATAAGCCCTTCACTCGCGCGCTATCGCGCGCGAGTTGCGGGCAATAAACCGATAACACTCTGCTCTGCCTCCATCACTCGCAACATAACGAGCCGGGGAATCATTTTTTTCAACTCAGGTATCTCCAGGTGTAATTCTCTTCGAGGAATGGGGATGCCAAAAGGTATATGTTGGTAAATTATACGCGAGGTTATTCTCCATCGTTTTGTTTATTCAAATATTCAGCAACAAAAATTTATTTCATTTTCTGCAACAATTCACAAAATAGTATATCAATTCATAAAGTTAATATAAAGTAATTGATGCAGTCAAGATAATCCTAGATTTAAAAATAGAAAATTGCCTAGTTCACTGGGAGGAAACATAATTCTAGCCTGCCGCCATCGGAGGCCCTGTTTTGCAATGATATACTGATATTTAGAACAACAAGTAACGGTACCAAATTAAATAGATAAGTAAATTAGAGCAAAGGGTTTAAACGAGGTATAAAAGCTAAAAAGAGAGAGAAAAATATGTTTAGGGTATGGGCGAAGAATTTTCCTGGTATTTTCATAGGCACGTGGTCTGTTAATAAGTTTACTCATTCTTTTGTCTTGGTTTTAATTGTTAATTTGAGTAGCATTGTACTACCAGTTAGTGACAAACAAATTTTTAGAACAAAAGGGAGTTTCAAAGACCTGTTACTTAACACAAAAGGAATGCTTTAGGAAGTAAACGAGCGCGATGTGTGAGGTAATTTTTTGTCATATGAGCGAGTGAAGCTCCTTTGGTTGCGAGTTTGATAGCCTAAATTGCTGCGTAGCTGGGCGCGAGTGCAAGTTCCCCAACCTGGGATGTCAGACTATAGGCGTGGAGTTTTCCACACCTAAATAATTACAATAACAAGTGGTGATAGTATACGATAATAAAAATGTCCGTAAGTAAACAAATTGTCAAGCTAAGATGTTAATGAGAGTTTTTCACTAAGTGCACAGATACACACAAAGGCATCAACGGTCAGAAATCAGAAAATATGTACAAAAAAAAAAGGAAAAAAGCAAATATCATTAACAAAAAAATGGATATTCCAAGAAAGTTGCAAACAGTCTATTTCTGTTAGAAATTGGCATAGCTGAGACTCTTTCGCATCAATGAAATAATAAGACATTTCAAACTCGATGGCATTTTTAAACAAAACGAGTTAATGTAGATACCAATGATGCCTCAAAACGTTACCATAGAACTGATGGAAAGGATGAACAATAAAAAACTGAACATACCGTCCCCTGAATCTCTACAAATACGGCTGATCCCTAGCAAATAAAGAGCAAAACAAATTACCAACAAAAAAATGAAGATATTGCAGAGGATGAAACAAATATTGCGGAATTTCAATCAAAAATGTTCATAGTGTGATGTCACTAATGTACTTCAAGAATTGTTTCACATTTGAGCAAATAACCGGAGAGAACAGCATGATATCCAATTGAATAAATCGTTATGCTATATGAGTTTAATAACAAATGAAGCTTCTTTGTGACAATTAATACTTTAAGGAATCGTGCAGACTCTTCTGCTAGCTCATTAAAGCCCAATGCAAAGCTGGTCATTATCATCAAGAACGGAGAGCTCGGTTCCGAGCAGCCATGGCCTATCCACAAGCTTTACATTGTTCCGATTTTGTGCAAGTCTGTCAATCCCCTTCAGTGTCCAATCGCAAATTTTTCAATGTGGTCACTCAGTCGATTTTTGGTTTTCTTCGTCTAGTTTGCCATGAATCATGCCAAGGAGGAAAGTCTTTTCGAGGCTGTCGTGTCTCAAGATGTGTCCGATGAAATTTAGCTGGCGAGCGTAGGTCATTTTCAGCAGTTTGGTTTCGGCTTGACAGTTAATGTTTTGCAACACATATTCGTTTTCTTTTCTGTAAAACTGATGCGCGGGTTAAAACAAAGCCATTACAGCCAGCTTTTATTTCTTTAGTCATTTGGCAAGGCCTTGTAAAGCAGAATGATTCCCTATGCAAATTGCAACATAAAAAGAAAACTATCCGGTCATTTAAGAGGAGGAATTCGATGAATTCGTTTTGAAAGTGTTCGTCTGTATAATCTCAAAATCAACAACACTTACATTTTTGTCAATAATACAGTCGATTTCTTCAATAACGTCAAAGTAAATCTGCAAGAGAAAATAAGAAGAAAATGAATAATGAATATCAAGAAAGTAAATAAATAGTTGCAATAAGTTTTCACTTCTACGCCAAGCATAATGGGGTGGATGGGTTGCTGTTATAGGTTTACGGGTTTGCAGCATTGTTGATATTTTCCAATGCGGGTTACGGATTTGCGATTTGTTATGGATTACAGCCAGAAAATCCTAATTCGTGTGCTTTGGTCCTTCAATTAAATTGCAAGCATATTGCAACTTTTATAGTTCGACTAGTAAAGTTAAGCGAAAGGACATATCTTAGTTGAAGTTTCGCAAAAATCGGTGAGCAAATTTTTTTGTGAAGAAAGTCTTAAAACTGTGGAAAAGGTAAAAGAAAATATCTACATAAAACAATATGTAGTTTAACTAAAAATTTCGTTATTGTAAGATTTGCTACCTTGTTTATAACTTACAGGAGTATATCTAAATTTTCCACTTTCTGCAATAGATAAAGTTGAAACTTTGTTAGAGAAGCTATTGAACAGGAACTTTTAATGGCACTAAAGAGGTTGCTGTTTAAGACTCCGTATCAACTTATCCCTGTGTTCGTTGACGAAACCGTTGTCAATTCACACTGATCCGTTTTCAAATGAATATGTTACGAATACGGTAAGTATTCAATTCACACTGATCCGATAATTAAGCTGCTGTAAACCTCGTTGTTGAACAGAGGTTTTCACGAAACGTCGTCAAATTGGCGCCAAAATATGCAATCAAAACATTCAGATGTTTCTGTAAATAACACTTTTGTAACAGTGACCGTTTGAAATTCAGCGCGCCAGAAGTATGTTACAGTAGATAGCCTATTCAAATGTTATATTCGTGGTTTTCATACTGCAAATGGAGCTTACACAGCAAGCACTCCAAAATGTATCCGTATTCATTTGTGTTTCAAATGACTCCGTGTTCATAGCATAGCCAGGTGAACGCAAGGCAAAAGCATATTTATGTTACTCTATATCCATACGAAAATGGAGCAGTGTGAATTGGGCCTTAGTGTTCTTGTATGATGAACCTGAGAAATCGACCATTCTTGTGTCTTATTGCCGATTATTACATCAATTTTAGCAAGAACTTTGTATTATTTAAAATGATAGTGCTGCAAAGGGATTTGCTCTACGTTCCTTCACGGATGAAAGACTCGCGGTGTTGATTGTATCTTTTAATCGAAGAACCAATCTACTAGCACATATTGCCCATTTGAATTTGAACATAATTTAAATAATACAAAATATCTAAAATTGGCTGAAAATAATACCAATATTTAAAGGGTTTCCTTTGGCATTATGATTGAAGCCAAAGTCAGTAAAACTGTAGAGTTATTTGAAACTCTTATGCTTAGTTTAGTAAAATGTAGGTTGATGAAATAAAGCAATAAAACATGTCTCAGGCTTAATATCATCCCTCACACTCACCTCATTGCTTGTATATTTGACACCGGTTCTCCTCCAAGGGATGTTAGATAACGAGCCCGTTGGCAAATGACCGCTTACACTAAGAACAAATTAAACCACATCATAGGTTTCAAGTGTTCATTGAAATTTAACAGGTCTGGTAATATTGTCTTCAAATATTTAACAGCCTAAACATCTGTGAGCCCAGGAAATATGATGGAAACTTGGCTAAAGATCGCGACGAAGGACACAGGAAACTGAAAAAATGAAAGCACCATGCAAAGAACTCATATTTTACAGACCGTTAGGGGGGTGCAGTTAGGTCAAAAGTGATCAATGCACAAATAATTTAACGTCAGCATCTCATCAGAAGCTTTAACAGTACAACTACAACCTTTGTTAACATACTGCGTTTAAATGTGGGGAAGAAAGGTATATGTACGAAATTTTTGCTAGGGAAATTTGAGCACTTACATAGACCAAAAATGACATAATGCCACAAAAACTACAATATTAGAATGAAAAGTTTCAAAGAACATGGGTAGGCAGTAACAACTGACGAATAATCCTCAAGGAAGAAAAAAGCCAATCTAAATGTACTTTTATGGCGAATACCAAAAATAAGATTTAGAGGTAATTTTGGCTTACTTTGTGCCTCCAGTAACAGTGTTGACAACACGATTCATGATACTTGGTGGCTTAATCAACTCTTTTAGAATATTACTTTCAGTGGCCAGTGGACAGCCATTATCAAGCATCTCATCCAGCAACTAGGGATCAAACAAAACTGGATCATTTGAATATTGCATGAAGTAGGATAAAAGTTTGGATGAAAGTTCCAGGTAACAACGAAAAGGATGATTAAGTTCAAAATAAAATACTATTAAATAATGCATTTTTCCTCAAAATAAGTAAGGTCACCAGACACAGCAATGTAGGCATAAAATTACAGTATGCAAATTTTGGGGAACTAAACATGGAAATCGAAAGGAAGGAAGACCATCTATTACATAAAATATCAACTGATAAAAGATACTGGCATAACAAATCAAAAGCTGACAAATATCATGAACAACAGAGAAGAATGGAAGAAACAAGTTGATTGAGTTCGAGAACACTCAAAATAAAAAATAAAAAAATAAATGCAAATTTTTATTAGACTATTAACCAGTGTTAGAGAAAACTGTTAAATGAATATTTTTTCCTACAAAAACCAAAAATTTTTCTAAAAAATTGTCATAAAAATGAAAGATTCTTTTAGTTAAAAGGGATGTAAGATTTAAAAACGGAATATAAAATTGTCATATAATTGTCATATAACTGTCATTTGTCATATAAAGATGATTCAGATGCCTAGTCATCATTAGGCGATTCATGCCAAGGTTTGCTTGTTTATTTGACTCATTACCTCATAAACAACCACAATTTGGTCCTTTATTATTGACTCTGTGCATGACGAGAAGTAGTCTGTAATTGTATCCACAACTCTGTGGAGAAACTCAATCACAAATAGTGGTGCAACTGCAAAAGACAAGGATATAAACCCTATTACCTTTAAAGCAATTTTTAATTTACCTTGAAATGAAAGGTTTCAGATAGAAGTAATGTTAAAACTAGAAAATCATGTTGCATGTTACATATCTGAATAACTTAAACAACAAGTAGAGATTGTAGTGCAACAGTAACATTTTGCCAATTCTGAGACAAAGAGTGAGATTTGAATAGTGCGAGGATGCAAAAATAACAGAAAGGAGAAATGAATTTACCATTTCGCAAAACCTGCCGTACCAGGAGATTTGCAGTTGAAACAATTGTGCTATACCCATTATTGTACATTATATAATAAAAGGGCTTCATGTTTATTTCAATTTCAGCCAACACTGTCTTATGATGACAAATTCTAAAAAGTTTGTTGAAAGTAGAAAGATGGAGCATAGAGGAATCACAAATCTTTTAAACAATTTACGTTTGCTGTGGATGGTAAAAATTTGTGCAGTTGTTTCAACCAATCTTTATACAATCTATATATAGTTATTGTTTCCTCTTCTTGTAAGAAGATGGGAAACAACTATTTGAGAAATTAACCATAATTTATAAGTAAACTGTAAAAAAAACACTGTTAAAATGGGAAATCACGAACCTTCTGATTGTGTCACAGCAACAAAGAATATTTCACATCTGTATATGTTGATAAGGTAGTGATGGGGTGTTGCAATGACTGGGGATACATTTTCAAATACACCAGCCTAAAGCAAAAACATGAATACAGAAAATAGAAACAAAGAAATACAGAAATGAAGGCACAATAAAAAGTGAAATTACATTTCCTAAACTGCCAACAAATAAATACCACATTTACTTGTAATGTATAATCGCATTGCACTATATAATTTCACAACATTATATTTCTACATGTAAGTGTGGATGTTTCTTTTCAGTAGCTCCAATCCCTAACTAGAGAGACCTACTCATGGAAAACTAAATCACTACATATAAATATTTGCTGTATACAGAAATGTAAAGCATGAAACAGATCATCACAATGCGGTTACATTACAATAATATTTACTAAGGTATAAATGATATGAAAGAAATTAAGGAATACATAAAAAAGGCAGGATTATTTTATTAGCCTTGATTTTCCTTGTTTCCGATATCTTTATCGAGTCTGTTGACCAGCCTGCTACTTTGGCCTTTACTTCATTTACATACAAAGAATCATGTTTTTCAAAATAGCAGACAACAATGATTACAACACACACAAATGGTTTTGAGGTGACTAAATATGAGCCCCTACTCTCTCTGCTCTTGAATCTCTATGGAGTGAAATTGAAAATACATCTCATTTAAAACACCAACATACCTTTGTTTGAGCTTCAAAGAAATAGTCACATATTGATTTACTTATCACACTTTTCCAATGCTTCTCCAGAAATATATCTCTGAAATATTAATGAGAAGTAATATGTTACAGATGCTTTTTCCCATGATATTAGATTAATAACGCAAAATGTAAAGCTTCTAGTTTAAAATTTGAGGCATGCAGGTGGAACAAACTCAACTTTAAGTTAGCTGTTCTGCTGCTTAGGTCTGCATTAAAGGCAGTCTAATCAGGTAATTGATTCTCAACTCACAAACAATAATTAATATGGCTCAGCAGTGCCAGATGGGGTCTACAGAAGAAGACCAAATGGGCGACAAACTCAAGCCAAAATGCACATAAAAAAGGCCAAATCAAAAACTTCCCCATAGAGACACTGTGTGACCATAGTAAATATTCCCCAGTACTGTAGTTTTGGCCTTTAGTACTCAAAGTTTCTTAGTTGTTTTCTTACTTTGGGACCTAGAATTGCCTTATAATTTTGAAGTTTAGCATTTTTGGAATATAAATGCAGATAAAAATCCAAAGTATGCTACCTTAGTTCATGGAAAAATCAACAAAATGAAAACTTTGGACTCTTTTTCTAAAAATAGAAACTTTATGGTTTTTTATTATTTTCAGGCCTAGCATTTAGGTTTTTTAAATTTTGGGGCATTCTGGGCACAAATCTTTTAATAAACTACTTACAGGAATTTCTGAAAAATCTCGCCTGAAAAAGTCTAATAAGGCGAACTTTGAGTAATAGGCCTAAAACAAATTTTCCAGGCAATTTAATTCTGAAAAAAGCCAAAATTGGAAAACTTGTCCTGAAAAAACCAATCTGATATTGCTTAAACTTGCTTTGATTGTGACAAGTTGTGGAACAACTTGTCTGCAAAAATTAGAAATTACCCTTGCCACATTCTATTAAAAAAGAATCTCAAATCAACTAAGCTTGTTTTCATAATTCCTTTATTTCTGAAATGATTTGAAACTGTGGAAACAGGGAAAGGTGCTATCTTCCCATGAGCCTATCTAGTTAGGGAGCTCCTCTTGCTGCATCAATTTTCGTTGCCATCCATTATCCCGTTTTCTTCTACTGAACCACTCTTGAGAAAACCTTTTCTATTTCTCACAGCTCCTGTGCAGATGCATCTTACTTGCTCAGCAATTATTTAAAAGTTAAAGTCTTCCTTCCTGTGAATATTTTATAGCAACAGGCTTCTCATTTGACCATTAATCATCTTTAGACATGGTTTATTTTTCCATAAACAAAAACTTTTTTGCATATTTAATAGGATTCAAATATGTCTCCTATGGTGTCAGAAAGATTTTCAAGAATTTTCCAACAAAATGTGCCATATTATGCCTTTTTCACACAAAATGTATGAAATTGTTAAAAAGTTGACAAAAAGTGCCACATTTTGAAGGAGGTTGTGCAATACTTTTATGAGAGGTTGTAAGCTCCTCCTTTCAATGATCTGCTAGATAAAATTTGTTAAAATGCCTTGGCTTGGTAAAATTAGCTTTTGTATCCCCATTCTGTTTTCTATCTGTATTTTACCATTTTTACTGTATTTGTGTACTGTGATAACATGCAAAATACTTCAAACTGTATGAAAGATTCAAACTTCATCACACCAACCATGATAACGTCTTTAAACTCCTGAAGGGAATAAATCCTTCAAAAGCAGCTGGACCCGATAATTTTGCAGGGAAATTCCTCAAGGAGGGTGCATCAATACTAGCAACACCAATTACCGAGCTATGCAATCTTTCAATTCCCCTAGCATGTTTTCCCGACAATTGCAAAATAGCGAAATTGAAACCTGAAGATGAACCAAAAAATTATTGACCAATCTCACTTCTGCCGCAAATTTCTAAAGTAATTGAAAAAATTGTCCACAAGCAGATACAAAAATATATAGATAAAAACAAAATTCTCTATCGTTACCAATCCGGCTTTCGGCCCTACCATTCAACCAACACATGTTTATTATATCTAAGTGACAAAGTAGTTCAGGGTTTTGAAAATAATATGTTTACAGGCATGATATTAATAGATCTACAAAAAGCATTTGAGACAATCGACCACAAAATTTTCCTCGAAAAAATGAAGCACCTTGGCTTTGCTGACTCAGTCATACTTTGGCTTCGATCATATCTAACAAACTGAACTTTCTTTATAAACATAGGAAAAGATTCCTCATCACCTGGTGAATTATCGTGTGGTGCTCCACAAGGCTCTATTCTTGGCCTGCTAATCTTCCTTTTATATGTAAATGACATGCCACAGGCAGTCAACTGTGACTTACTTCTGTATGCAGATTACTCCTGTCTTGTATTTGGAGACAATAACATGAATGGAATAGAAAAACAACTAAACAGAAATTTCAATGCTCTTTGCGATTGGTTTGTTGATAACAAACAAAGCATTTATTTTGGAGAGGACAAAACAAAATCGATACTTTTTGGTAGAAAGAATAAACATACAGACAGAAAAAACTGGACATCAGAAGAGGCAACATCAAGATTAAACAATACACCTCGGTCACATATTTAGGCTGTATTGTCGATGAGGTGCTGTCCAGGGAACCAATGGCTACAAGAATCCTAGGCAAAATCAATGGCAGGCTAAGATTTCTTTACAGAAAGCAACATTTTCTTGACTTCTCCCTTCGTAGATTGCTAGCAAACGCACTAATTCAGTGCCATTTTGACTATGCAAGCAGTGCTTGGTTTCCATACTTAAACAAAAGATTGACCAATTGAATTCAGACAGCTCAAAATAAATGTATCAGGTTTTGTTTGAATCTAAATAACAGAGCACATATAGGAATCAAGGAATTCACAAATATCAATTGCTCCCCAGGAAAGAGAGATTTGAACAATGTATGACTGCAAAGGTTTTCAAATTTTTTTGATAATTCAGCCCCACCCTACATGTCAGAGATGTTGTTACCAGTTGGCCAGAACAGAATCACTCAAAGATCTAAAACAAACTTAATCAACCTTTCCGAAAGAAAAACATAGGGCAAAAATGCCTCTCATATCTTGGTCCCAAAATTTGGAACAATCTACCATCAAAACTGAAATCTGCAAAGAACGTCAATAGTTTCAAACACAAGATCAAAGATAAATTCTTTGATGATCTACAAAGTTGGGAGGATAGCCCCTACATATTTTATTGAAAATCAAAATTCAGCCAACAAAAAGGTTCTAGTTAACATTTTTCCAGAATTACTTTTTCCTAGTTTCAGATACAAATCAATTTTACATGTACACATTATTTTACAACACCTCTGGAGGGACCATTATGGAAACAAGATCGTATTGAACTTTTTAAAGCTATCCCTGCCATTTTTAACCTGGGTGTTTTAGTCTATATGCTTTTAACTTATTCTACATATCTGTAAATTTAATATATCTGTACTTAGATCTTTTTCTTTTTCTTAATTTTAAATTGTAATTTATTTGATGGCAAAATTATACATACATACATACATACATGTAGATAATCTAAATAATAATATAAACTGGAACTGGAATAAAAACTTGACTGGAGGCAGTTTGTTGATCAAGTTAATCTAAGCAAATACATAGAGTCACATTGCCCCTTATGGAACGATTTCAGTAAAAATTGTTTCCTCAGCTTTTTTGAACTTCCTAATAAAATAAACGTACTACAAGCACATTCTTTGCTGTATAATCTACATGCTTGTGTAAAGACAGTCTTATCGGCTCTTCTCTCTTTCTGCACGAGCAACATTACTACAGGCTACTTTTCTTGGTGAAAAACTTAGGCCATGGCCCCTTTTGGAACAACTCAAATTTAGGCATGCAGAAAAGCGCACAATGTAGAAAAACCGGGAATTATTATCTGCCTTCTTTCCTTCTACCTTTATCATTTGTCAGTATCAAATCAGACTTTCGTTGAGCCATTTGTTTTCAAATTCAGAGTAAAGAAGGAATAAAGTTATCCCCAAGTTTAGTTTTCTTACTTGAATGAGACTTTATCATGTGTCACACGTTCAGCCACTCATGAATTGTTGAGAATCACAACAGGAAGCCTGCTGTTCCATTGAAGAAGCCAATAGGCCAATGAAAGTGCTCCTGATCAAAAATCCCGGTAAATGAAAGTTGTGCAAGCTATTTTTTGGGTTTCAACGAATATTCGTTTTAGGGAGATGAAGAAACACGTTGTTGGGGTTGATTTTGTTTTAGCTAAAAAACCGACCGAGGGAATGACCAAGAAAGTTGAGGTGCAGGAAAAAAAGAAGAGTCAAAGGTCCAATGACAACTTTATCATTTACATTTCGCTTACTTTTAAAATATTCTCCTAGCTTTTAAAAACAAAATGAAACAACGATAATTAGCAAAGAGTTCAACTAATATCGTCAGCAAAATAGTTTCACGCGTTTTTGAAGATAAACAAACATAAACTCCTTCATATTTATTTTTATCATTGCACAGTCAGAATTCATGAAAAAATCGAATCGTTCCATAAGGGGCGATGTGACTAGTCAGATTAATATGGTTAAAATGAATGTATGAATAAAATCTTATTGAGACCAGCCTGCTCTCAGCTGAGAGAAGATAGCTATTGAGAGAGTTCCCTCCTGTAAGAATTTCCCTCCATTCAATTTTTCTTATTTCTGTCATGTTATTGGCTATAGTATTGTAATATTTTCCTGCATTGTGTTATTAATAATTTCTGTATTGTTACCTAATATTTTTGTAGTTTAATCGTTTGTGCGTATTTTATAGTTATTTTATAATAAATTGTATGTATAGTGGACTTTTAAAATATATACTGAACTGAACTACTGAATTGAACTGCTCTGCAGACTCAAGGATGGATATACACTATACACTAATTTGCATATACACTTGCATGGGCAGCGACGCTGAGCAATACTGAAATACTGAAATATGTTAAAATTTGCGGCTTCACATGGTTTGTTCGAAACGCAAAGCGATATAGGCCGTAATACCTCTATTCGTTAATGTATGGATGGATTAAAGATTTCAAAACTTACCCTGAACTGTTTATAAGGAACAAACTGTGGATCATTTCTGCAAGAATATCAACCTTTTTATGGCCTAATAAGCTAGCATTACTACTTTATTTTAGTTGTGTTCAATAACAACAGTCAGTGACCCACTTTCCGAACAGGAGGACCGTAAATATTGTTGTTGCCTCGATTGGAAGAAGGTAAAACGTCATCAGGAGACCCACTCCTGCTCCTGCATCAACGCAGAACAGAAAAAAGATATTTCTATTCTGTGGCATGGCATTATTAAAGTTAAGGGATAGGTATAAATCTGTGCCACACACCACAATTTCTCAAATAAGCTCCTCCTCTTAGAATAACCCCCTACCCTAAAGTAATTTTTGTGAAATAAGCCCCCACCATCGCCTGGGCGGATTCAGAACAGATTTGAAGGAGGTTGGTAGTGGGGGCGCTGAAAAATTGGTGACAAGAGTACGCTGTATACAACGATTTCAGACCCCAACTACAGACAAAAGACTCTTTCACTTTCTATAGAAATTTTCACAATAATTGTGCCAAAACAATGATATAGTTCCGGCTAAACATTCGCTGCTCCGCCATGGTGACTCCAATTCTGCTAGAGTACTCTGCAAAAGGGGCTGACTTGAATGCTTTTTCCTTACCAGGAAATCGAATTTTGGAGAGCTCTGAAAACTGGCCGCTTTTGGTTTAATTTTCAATTGGAGTATAGTTGTATAGTTAGAAACAGTACTTTAATGAATGCACCTAAAATTCAATAGTACGTCATTATTGCAAGAGGTAATATTGATTGTTCAGGGTTTGATGAAAAGGTTCACAATGGTTGGCGGCAGAAAAGGTTTTGCTACTATAACATCTGCAACATCGACTACAACATCGACTGAGAATAAAGGATCCTAGGCACAACAGACATATTCTATTACAACTATGCTCCATATTTGGTTTTATTATGACATGAAGATTGAGGAGAACTGGGGCACAGGCTACACAACAGCAGCTTTTTTCATTTGTATGCAGATAGATTCAAAAAACTGAAAAGACAACCGGGCTCTGCCAATTATCTGAAACATGTCGTTTGCACAATCTGGGTTGTTTAAAAAGTATTGTCCGATGGCCAAGTTACTTATTTTTAATGTATTTTTAGACCTACAAGATCGAGGAGGCCGAGGGGCAGCTTTGTTTCTAATGTTGGAAGGAACGTCTTGCTTTATCCTATTCCCCAATCTTTGGGTTGTGCATACTACATAGCCAAAATCACACTGGAAATTCATAAACAACGGAACACTTTTGGGTGATAGGAGCACAATCATTTTGAATGAAATCTCCTTGCGCCAAATGTCTAGTGAATATGAAGTCAAAAAAATGTCCGTCATAGAAATACTCACCAAGGAAGCTGGGAAAAGGCTGGCCGCAACTTTCATAATTAAACTTTCTCAAATTGTTCAATAATGTTAAAAGGTTTTAATGCTCGATGAAAATCAAAAGCTTTAGACGACAAACAACGATTTGAAAGGCGCAAATGATATTTTGTGTTCCTACCTGATTTCAAGTAGGGTGATATGATTGCATTTAGCAGCACGGATGAAAGAAGCTCAGTCTTTGCAACCCTTGTTAGAAAAGGCTGACGGCATCAAATAAAATTTGTTTAAAAAAGTTAGTAGCCAACGGAATCATATAAAAAGTTGCAAGAGAATACCTAAAGGGAAATGAATTTATATCATCCTTAACAAGGATTTAATATTGCAGTAATAATGGAAGCAAGGAAAAAATAGGAATTAAACTTTGTACGTGGCTAGAAGAGGGATTCCATTAAAATACTGGAAGAGGATGCAGAATTGGGTCAATGAACTTTTACGTCTCAGCTTTGAATTTATCTAACAGTAATAATCAAAGATAAACATCGAAAGAGTAATAACAATAAAGTCGTGTGTAGCCTGCAGAGATCTATTGAATAATTGTAAGGGAATGTTGGAAGAGACAAGTAAAAGGTATTTATTGTATTATATGATTAATTTACAGGTGGCTGTTACAATAGGTAAATAACACTTATTCAGACTAATTTACCGCAACTTCAAGGATTGCATATGACTGTTAAATTACTTTACTGTATAAAAAGAAAATATTCATTTTTTTCATGGAACCATGTTCAATCAGATTTTGGATTTTTATGTATTTCGGGCTGTTTTGACTTCAGCTAGAAGTGTGCTTCAGATTCTCGACGCTTGGAAACCTAGTGATCTGATTCCATAATGGAAAACTTATCTTGCAGTAATATTTGAATACTAAGCTGGAAAATCAAAGGAATAAAAAGAAAAAGTTGTGACTTGCCAACGGAGCCCATTTAAAGTATTTGAAATGAATACCTGAAGGGGCATTTTATTTTCACCCCCTTTTCTGGAAATCTATCACCCAGTAACAAGGGATGATCATCAAAAGAATCATAATGAGAAAATTGCTAGTAATAAATATAGTTGTTTTAGAACATTGTATGAGAGAACGAGAAAGGAAACTTAATTTTAAACTCCCTTAATTGGAAAATTTTTCCCACAGAAAAAAGCCATAAATTCAAACAAATTTCTCACTAACAATCAAAAGAATGATAGCAAGAACGCCTTGAATAGCCAACTTTTCTCTGTTTAATTCTTGGAAGAGAATGTGACAAAAAGGCATAGAATTCTCAACCCCCTTTAAGGACATTTATCTCCCACAAAAGATAATGAAAATCAAATCATTTCATTTGACAAATCGATTTGACATGCTAACATAATGTTAATATATTTTTCTTTAAGCTATCGAGTAGTTATCTAGCTATTCTTTTTTGTACATAGACAGCAATAATACGCATCTTTAAAAAAGAGGCAAAAACAGAAACATTCTCTAAGGTATTATACATTCCCTATTTTCCATCATCATTTAAAAACAGCGAAGAGGTATCATCATATCTCTCAAAAATATCAGTTAATGAACTATCTTATGTTTCATATTCTGAATTGATTGGTTTCACATTTTAAATTCCACAAAATAGTGGATCAATAACGTAAAAAACGCCAACTAAAACCCCAATCCCCTTTAGCTTGAATGAAATTTTTCCATTGGTTGCTAAGAAATATTCAGAAATAGCAACATAAGGGATCAATGTACACAGTGTTTTCCGTAATGAAAAATGTTGCCAGATTCGTCATGAAAGTATTTATTACTTAATCAGAAAATGAAACTCGAGGGAGTCTGTCTATTCACAAAAGCCATAATGTTCGTAAAAACACCCATTTAAGCTCATTTTGTAAAGATGTGACATTTCAAATTATCTCATGTTGAGCCATAAGAGCTTCATAAAGCATATAAAGTAACTCATAATGTCATTGTTCTTTTTATTGTGGAATTTTCTGCATTATTAATATTTCTCAAGAAGTATAACATTTTGATATTTAGATAAAAAGCTATTAAAACGTTATGGGTTGAAAACATTTAAAACATTGGACCTAAAGTTTACGGAGCTATTAGTTTAAAGGTTGAAAAGGGGACTCGCACTAGAAATTATCACAATTGAAGTTTTCGAATGGTCCTTTACAAACCGATGTTTATGGCTTTGAAAAAGCAAACATTTAGTAAACTGAAGCTTTTCGTCTGACATTCTTCAGAGTTTAAAACGTCAGAACATAGATCGAAAACTCTACGCTAGGAAATATATATACCCAGTTGTGGATGATGTAAACCGATGTGTGTAATGCCGCAAAGAATTAACTGTTTTGTTGTATGAAAGGACCCATAGCAAACGACATTACATTATGACAAGCCGATAGCTATACAAACTATATGCAGCATATATAATCTACAAAAACCAGGCTTCTGCTGGCTTTTTCTGTCAACAACCAATAAAGTTGATGTATTTCACAGATCTCTTGCACCCTAAGCCCCAGGGATGACGTCATCATATTTATAACTGGCAAAATTAACTGTTTGCATTCGAGGTGCGCCAACTCTGTAGTTTTATTAGGGACAAAATTCAGGCTATATCCATGTTCACGGTTAAAGTAGTTTTTGTTACAGTGTTGATTTGTTTTTTATGACAATAAGGAGTCATAGTTCAGCAGCAGGCTCATCAATCATATAATCTTCTGTCTGGAATTCGACCGCAAATGGCAAATCAATTAATTTAAACAACGGTCATAAACGTACAGCCGTGATTGAATAGAATTCAAGAAACCAAGAGACGACAAAAGCTAATTGCTAGAAGGACCTACGGTAGCTGTAAGTTTGCTTCGGGTAAAAGTCTATTTTCATTTTCAAGATTGAAAGCGACTGTGAAATTGAAAGTACTCCCTCTTTAAAAAGAAAGCGATATAAAGAAAGATCTTCCTTTCTTGAGGATCCATTTTCTGAGTGAATGAGATGGCTGTTCTCCTAGAATTGGCAACAAGCAACCAAAGAATGTTGTTTGGGTTGTTGCTGGGACTTCTGTGCTTTCTACAAGTAGACGGCTTTCCCGTTTCAAGTTCAGGTAAGAGCCAAATTACTTAAAAAATTACTTCAATATGTTAAGGGTTTAGTCATTGTGCATTCTCATTTCAAGCCTATTTCTGTTAGCATTTATAAAGTAACTGCAGGAGTTCAAATACAAGGAAGGCAGGTAAATAGGAATATGCTATACTCCTTCAGGCGATATAGTTATTTGTTGCAAATTACTCTTGCTTACTTTATATTGTTAATCACTTGTCTGGACACTTGAAAAACGTAGATTACAGATATCGAATTACTCTGCTGCCATTATATTGGTATCAATGGGAATCAAAGTAGCGCATAACTCATTTTGGGGACTGGAACAACAATAAATGTCAACTGAGTCGATATTGCAGTTACAAAACTGTTTCCCTTTCCAGATATCTAAACATATCTGATAGCACTTTTAGGTGTAATTTTTCCGCTGTCTGGCGCGGTTTTCTTGGCACGTCGCATGACAGCAATTGAGCATCTGCGTCTATTAAATTAGTTACCACATTAGGGAGACGCCGAGTCAAAACTGATATTAGATTATTTTAACCTTAATTTTATGCATTTTGCATTCGAGTTATTCAAAGAAACATATGTATCTTTATCCTTAAAGAGAGCTTTGTTGTTGTACAAAATTTCATTATTATAATAATAGTGCTCGCAAGCTAAAAATATTTGAAATACCTGGATTTATTTCTCTACGTGCAGATTCTATTGGACTTTCTTTCATCGTACGGGATGGTTCAAAAAATTTATTTCTCTCTTGTTTATCCTTAATTCAGAATATTTTCCACTAATCAATTTATATTTTGACCAGACAATCGACAATCTTGGATTTCAGACTTTTTGTTTCATTCTTTTGAATGAATGTTTCCAGATATTATACCAAAAACGTATTCATTTCATATGTGTTCACAACGTATTCATTTCAAACGGAAAGATTTAAATTTTCTATAATCTATGTAAATTAAGCCGAAAGAGAAAATAGTTGCCTAATCGTGGAAAATAAAAGTTTCTATTCCACCTTTAGAAGGCTTTTGACCTTCCAGGAGAAAATGATCGGAAGGGGGCCTCAAAAGGGCATCTGCAATTTGCAATAAGGGTGTAAATCACTTTCCTCAGAATTAACAAATAAACTAAACAGGTTTCTTCAGACCTTTCAGATCCGTCCATCTTTACATCAACAAATATACCTCTTTTTTCGGCAGCAACATTTTTTGATAAATTTGTTTTGTCATTCTTTAAAGCTAACATAATTTCACTTGGAAAAATGAAAAAAGAACAAGCACACACGACTCCCCAACTAATCCTTGAAATGCCTTAATGCGTTGATCCAAAAATTCAACTTGAAGGGAGTAGAATAATAAAAGTTTGCTTAACTTTCACAATTTTAAGTAGCAACTTTTTGTTTTTGTGTTGCACTTTTTCATTGGGGTGCAAGATTGACCCTTCAAGGTACGGTTGCAATAAATATTGTCGTAGATGAAGTTTAATGCAGAACGGTTAAAAATAAATGCTGCAATCTTTTTACCTATCTATGCTTTTTGCTTTGAAAAACATTGTGAGTGGTCTCGTGTTTTTAGTAGTTGCCACGACTAGCCACGAGAATAGCAGTTGCCATTTTTCCATTTCTTTGTGCTTTAGATGAAACAATTTAACTTAAGAGTTAATTTAACAATTTAAATTGAAATATTTTAAAATAAAATAAAATTCAGGTTTTTTAATTTTTTTCTAAACATGTGTGAACCGGCGGCCTTTCGGTATATAAACAGCGCCAGATGTTGAATCATTGGTAAGAAAAAACCGGCCTAATTTTGTATGGTCGACCATATTATGATTTTTCTTGGTTGGCAAGGAAGATTTTCCGAGGGGTTGCAAATATTGAATGACACATATACTTTCAAAATGAGATTATGTTCATAAAACCTGGGAATCTTGGATAAAATTTGTTCACAAGCAGCTGTCAAGAATTCATCCTGCTGAAAGACAGGGCAGCAGAATCTTTGAGGGACTGGACAAAAGTCAACAAATGCAGCAAGGACGAATCTTCCTGAACGCACTCATGGCAGTTGAGCAGGGATCACGGTTGTCCCTTTTTTGTCATGTATTATTTGATACTGTGTCAGGGGCCTATACTGGATAAATTGGTGTTTAAATTTTGATGTAAATGGCCTTAGCTAAACGACCGATGCTAAACGTTGACTGATGAATAATTCTGTATTATCTTTTTTTAGGACGATTTCTCCAAACTCTGAATTAGATCCTTTTCAATTTTGGTTGTTTTGTCAGTTTTCTCTTCTGCACTTACGACTGTAATACTATTATCTTGTAAACCCAGGCTAGCCTGTTGTAAACTATCTATTTAATAGATAGGTTTATAATTGGAGTGTAATTGAATTTTAATGGCAATTTTCAATATTATTGTTTTCATTTTATTACAACTATCGTATTCGCTGTTCTTATTGCCTTTGGTCCGCTTAAAGAAAAGGCTTAAAGGATCTGGCCCACTCTCAAAAAAAGGTTGCCCATCCCTGCTCTAAAACAAAGATGACTTCGATTTTAATTTTAATATAACTGTAATCTGAATAAAGTAAATGAGATTAATTGTATTTTTGTTTTTAGAAATAAATTTCATTCTGAATTCATCTATCAGAAGAACAAGAAGTTAATTGAACTTGGTCTTCGATTAACACTGTATTGCAGTCTTGCCATTGGATCCCTACCAGCCAAAATCCCTAAAAATATGCCCTGCTACAGGAAACTAGCCTGAGTAACTCCTCAGGTCGTCTTTATTGACTTCTTAAGGCAATAAATTCTTAGACTATGGAATTCATATATGCAATTAAACTAACAGGATGATGAGATCAACGAAAGTGAAGACTTTATTAGATACATGTAATAATACATTGTTGTTTAAATTGGCCGAATGTCATAATAGAAATTGCAATTAACTATGTAATTTAGTTAATAATAAATTACGTTAGGATTAGAAGATATGGTTTTCAATTGTTTCTCAAAATATAATTGCTTGACAGAGAGTTGGCTAAGCAATAATCAGAATAAATATGTTTCTACAGTCCTTCAAACTGATTTGGTTTGTCACTATTATTGATATAATTATAACTTTATAACAGTTTTTGTATACATTGCTTTTTAGACTTTTCATTGCTTTATTTGAAAAAATGATAAAGGAATGTGAATTCTTCTATAGAAATTTTTAACAGTAAGTTAAAGATTTTGCTCAAATTGAATGGCAACTTAAAAGATGTGAAATGCGACCAGCCCTACCTGTTTTAGATTTTTTTCGACATGAGCGACAAGAAACTAATGAGCTGATAAAGAAATCTTTTTGTTTTAAGCTTACCATCATGAAAATTTCGATAGAATTGTTGAACTTTTTACAGCGTAAAAGACACCATTAATAATTCATTTTGCTAATAAACCTATAATAATAAGCATTATGTTTTCATACCTCATCGATATGATAGTTTGGATTCATTCTTTCACGAAGATGGCACTTTTGATGCAAAATGGTATTAAAGGATGATGCCTAAAACTGTTGTGCACACACTGGCTATGTGGTAAAAGTCTAGTATGTAATCTTTTGGGGCCACGCCATTTTATCTCTACGAGGTTTGTATATGTATAGGGGGAAAAGAAATTCAGCGCCAGGAGAAAGGGGCAATGCATGGAAAACTGCTTGTCTAATTTTGCCCTCTGTTGTTGATCATTTTCCCCCAAAATTCTTGCCTTGACTGTATACATATCCCTAGGTGTTTCTGAGTTCTGAATGAGCTTTCAAGTAAAAAAATCAAAGTAGGTTTTTCAGCCTGAAGTAAACGATACTGATTAGTCGATCAAGGATGTCTAGACGGAATTCAACTTGGAAGAAGCAAGCAAATCCCGGATAAGAAAAAAAACAGGATACTCCCAGTAGATTAAACTTTCAAGATCGAATCTTCAGATTACTATAACCTGATATGCTCATTTGTTGAGAAGTTATAACATTTAAAGTTTGTTGTTATAAGGTCATGCTCAAAAGACTATCAGCTACGGATAAAAATCCGATGGTCTGAGTTTATACAATTGTCATTGATCAAATAGGATCTTTAAAGAATAAAGTCAAACTGATTACAAGAATCAGACAGTTAAACGTACTGAGACTCTACTGATAGATGTACTTAAAAACTAATGGTTTTTCAAATAGGTTCTCCTGTTTTCTTGTAGATGGAGATGGAAGAAATAAGACAGATTAGAGCTTAAAAGCGCATTTTCTTTATATGCCAGAGTAATTAATTCACGTTTTAATTTCTCTTGGATGTGACAGCATGTGCAATTTTAATCAAGGGTTCGCCAAAGGGAGGCATGGGGCGCTGTAGTATATCCTGTAAAAAAATTTTATAAGAAAACGATACAAGTTTTCAGCTTACTTTCGGTCATTATTCGCTATTTCGGGCTTTGAAAACTTCGAGTAAGCTCTCAAGGGTTTATTAACAAGACAAGTTTTCGAATGGAGACGCGCAGCACCGTTCTATAATGACGTCATAAAAAGGATCAGAATGTCATTTAATAATGATGCATTGAGAGCCCCCCTCTCTATATTAGTAAGAGCAAAACATAAAGTGGTGGAAACCAGATGTGCCTCAATTAAGTAAAATAATTGTTTATTGTATAACATAATTGGTAATTTTTTATAAGAATAAAATGGGCCGTCAATTAAGACTGAAAAGTCGGGATAGAACTAGCATAGCTTCTTGACAGTAGAAGGAACATCCACAATTTAAAACCAAATACCTGTACCGTTTCAAATCCGTAGCACGTCGACCAGCTCAGTGGTGGCATGATTAGTGCTTGTTTTATATAAATGTTAAAATATTTGAATGAATGATATCATCAGACAGCGTTATGAATCAATAATTTCTGTGAATCAACTGAAAGAGCATATGGGGCAGTAAGCGGTTTAAATCTTATGCATCTGAAGATTTTCTTTATTAAAAGTAATAACGCCAAATTATTTAAGTCAGAGATAGGACCCCAGAAAACACTACCAGAATCTAAGATGGAAAGAAATATGAATGAAAGTGGCAGGCAAAAAGTGACAAAGGAATATAATTTCTAAATTTGAAGGAAAGTCTGGTTGTTCCAACGGGGTTCTGTTTGTCCCATGTTGGTGGGACATATGCACCAATGACCAAAGTTCAAATGGGGCCCTTTTTCATTTTTTCTTGTATAAATAGCCATGTTACCATTTGCCTGCTCTAATAAAATCGCGGAAGATGCTTCTAAAGATGCTGAAAAAGTGCTTTGTATGATGCTTCTACTGTAGTACTCAAAACAGAGAATTTTCGAATAAGTATTAAGTCTGCTAAGTAGCAGACGAGGGCGTTGGCAAAAATAGGGCTAATTTAAGGGCAAAGATCTTCATCGAAACTTGGTTGCTGTTTGTACATGAGCAATAGATTTGAGATTAACTGGCTTTTGTCATCCATAAATTGTTGTTGAGGCAGCAAGGAGATCGGTTAAAGAGAAAGAGAGCATACATGAATGCTATGTCAGTAATATGGAATAGAAATTGAAAGATTTACAATCAACGGTAAGCTTCCAATTGCAAATGGACCTGTGCGTATGACCGACAAGTTGAAGCAATAAGTGCAAGGAGTTGACCTTCAAGAGCAGGGTTGCCAGATAGGATTAAAAAAAGGCCAGACGGGTAGGCATCTCAGGCCATTGTGCTCATAAAAAGGCCAAATCAAAAAATATTCTCCAAAAATACATCGCGCATGCAATAATCTATTAACTCAAACAAAAATCTTACTTTTTCTTTAAAATAATCCTTATCTGACAGTTAGGATCTATTTTTTGTGTAAACTATAGGTGATTGTATTTGACATTTGGGCGTAGTAAACTACTACTTACTCCATTGGTGTTACTCTATTACTCTTTCTATTTAGAATTTCTGCTGAAAGGCGAAAAAAGACCAAATTTAGGTAGTAGACGAAAATTGGAAAATTGGAAAATTTTGCCTAAAAAACGCCAAACTGGCAACCCTGGAAACAGAGTAACCTTTTGGCTCACTTATTCATCGTAGAATGATTCGACTCATTGTAAAATTGCAGAGATTAATTTTGGCTGTATTTCTAGGGATATCAGTGATTGATCAGTGATAAATCGTTGATTATTACCTTTATGATAAACAATTACTGAAAAATGGTTTTTCCACTACTTTAAAATCCTTAAAAAATACTCTTATGTTTAAGTAAAATAAAGCAAACCAAAATTAAGGGTGCAAAATCTAACGTTTGCTGAAAACTATCTTTGCAACATTACTATACTGGAACATATTGATATTTTATTTCTGTAATTCTTGCCTCAGCGAATTACCTTTCACTTTACAGTAAATCACCACAAAGAATAACCTTCATTGCAACACTGTCCGTCAGTATGCTATGTTTCCGTTATTTCGTGCAATTTTCAAGTTTTACGGTTCTGCCCATTTAAGTCTACAGTTTAAAGTCAGAATAGTCAAAAATTTTTACAAATACTTTTCAAAATAACGGAAGAAAAGTTTAATTTGTTTCCCAACATAAACATTTATTTGTTCTGGTCAGGCCAGCACTTCCGGACATATATAGCCCTTTTTACTTAACTCGGGTGCGGTTTTACCTTAAAACATACTCAGACTCAGCATTTTTGTTTGCGCTGCTGACCTAAAGTTTCATTATCTGCAAAACAGAGAATGTGATTCAGAATCTTTATCTGCAAAAAGTTATAATCAGTAGCGAAATTAAGAGTTTTAATTTAATCGTTAGTATTTGTTAATTTCTAGGCTACGGTTTGGACAATAAATTCAAAGATTACATTCCATCAACATACACTACAGTTGGTGAAGATGACGACAGACCTTACAAAAGTTTGTATCTGTCGTTAAGATACGGTTGGAGCGATGATGAAGATAATTCCAGTGGCTCGGGTTACAGTGGAGAAAACCTGGAACCTCATGCGACCTGGGAAAAACAGGATGATCAGGTTTCGCAAGGTAGAACAAAATACGATGCTAAGACGAGCAAGGTTAAATCAGGAGCAGCAAAAAGCGCTTAAGGAAAAGCTATGGTGATCATTGGCATAAATGCACATATTGGATAAATAGAAACAAAAATTCGTTCAAGACAAGTAGAAGTAGAAATATAGATGTCTTATTGACCTTACTTTGAAGCAGAATAGATTGCAATTTGGATTTTAAGAAGCAAAAACTTTTGTAGGTTCAGGTTTTGTTTGAAACAGAGGAGAATATTATAGTAAATTAGAGACAGGCAAGATAATGCGAATGAGAATCTTTGGAAACTCTTTTCCGTTTTTGCGAATTAGTCTTTAATGGTAAAGCAACTTGGAGCTGTCAAGAATATCATTTGCGCAAAGCCGTTTTCTAGAAATTTTGTTTTCTCTTTAACATGACATCACAAATGAAAGGCGATCGCTAATTAAAAATCCCTTTAGTTTTTATGCATGCTAATGTTATACTCTTCGAAAACAGCCACGGCGAAGAAATTATTTTCACAGCTCCTGGTATGCCATAACAAAAATCCAGTAGTATTTTATAAAGAAACAAAACTAGACTTGTTGGTTGCAAAATTTTTTAAATTGCTCCGTTGGAAGCTCCAGTGGCCGGTACGGGTTAGTGGCAGAATGATTAAATTGTATCAGATTAGGAGTATGTAATTCTATTTTATAAAGTACTAATATAAAATAATACATTTGGAAGGATGTAACAATACTTGATAAGATAAAGAGATGATAAAGATAAAGCCAAAGAATACCTCAGCTTTTAATAAAGACAGAAAACAAAATATACTGGACAAGATGGTGATATGATGCACGTTTCGAATTCTGCTTTTTCAACCTAAAGCTAAGAAATCCGTGGCACAAGGATATTTGAGCTACTTCACAATCTTCATTTAACTCACAATTAAAAACGCTCAGGACACAAGCAAGTTTCAAAGATTGCCTAAATTAGGTTCAATGACTAGATGTGTTTCGCTTAAAGATAATAACAGTTATTTTTCTAACTTTTTTTAGAGAGCTAAGTATTATTTTGCGCAAAGATTAACTTTTATAATAAAATAGTTAAGTACTGTTTTGGTTGCATTGAGTTTTTTGTTCAGAGTCCGTGTATTATTGCGTCGTGTGCATTGCCTGCCCAGTTTCGTTAGCGAACACCAACATAACATACGTGACTATGTTACATCATTTACTCTTAGTACGTTTTGACTTTAAAAAGACTTGGTACAGGTTTTTGTGATGGTAAGATTAGCATATAATTTTTCGAGACAGTTTTTCTGCAAAACAATACGTTTATGAGAATCTTCCAAGTCCTCTTGTGAAACAACAAGCAAGGTTTCAAGAATACCTGCAGAATACCTGGATGATATGAATGTAAAACTGCAACAGTTTCATGAGAGGCAAAAATGTAAAGTGAAATTTGAACAGCATAGCTGTAAGTGAAAGAAGTCTGCTTATTTTGCTCCAGCTCTTGGAGTATTCAGCTCTAGATGGAATCTGTTCTGGTATGTCTTTTGCTTTGGGACATCAAATACTATCTGCTCATAGTTTGACTCGGCCATTGGAACTGGTGTAAAGTGAAATTCTCCTGAAGGGAATACAAATAAATCATGAATCTATTAAATCGCAGTTGGTAATGTTAATGTAAAGCGAGGTGGTGAATACAAGGCATTATCACCAGCGTAATTCAATACTGATATATAAAACCTCACTTACAAAACTTGCAGACAAGTTGATAAGGTTTTAAGTATTAGTAGAACATGAGCTTTTAGGTACCCCATTCTTCATTTCATTTAGATCAGGTGAATTACTTGACAGAGTATTTATAGTTGATGCTGATGCTGAAGATGAAGATGCTAAAACTTTGATCGCTTAACAATGAAACAATATTTTTCCTGTCTCTTATTCGCAAATTGTATAAACAAAGATGACAGAGATCCAACAAGACATTGAAATACAACTGCAAATGTAATATTGGAATTTTACCTTGCTAACGCTGTAAATAATAATGATACAAAATGTGCTCTTGCACGATGTCTATGACCCCATCCAGAAACCCTCTATCTACATCAATTGTACAGTGATAATTTTCCTCAAAGTTAGTTGTGATTAAAACTACTGACACCCAGTGCGAAGTCTATCGGAAAAGATTCTGTCAGAGAAGACATTTCTTAAGGGTCATATTTGAACACAGACCTTGCATTTTGGGAAATTTCTGTACCTTATCCCCTGTTTATATTACCTATCCCAGAGATTCCAATGAAGTTTTTAGACGATCCTTCAAATTAGATGCTAAAAACTGATTCTATTTCTAGCCAGGAATCCACCTACAAGAGTCCAAAGTTTTACAGGTAAATTAACTTTGCCATAATAGCTGCAAATTTGCAAGGAGAGGTTCGAAAAGTTGTTAGCTGAGGTACTTTGATGATAAGTATAAAGATATATTTTTTCACAATTTAACAAATTCTGAAGAGTGTCAGTCACCAGCAAACCATGAATTTAAGATAGAAAGACCAAGATCGATGTTTGGTCTTGGAGCAAATCTGCGCTTGCAAAACCCAATGCTTCAAAAGTCCAACATTACATCCACGAGTAAAAAGAACGCTTACCGTAAGCTTTATAAAATGAAGCAACTTACTGTTAGGAGTGGCATCCGGGACTGGCCTTTGTGGCATATCAATCTCATTTGGTAATGCCTTTGGAATACCTTGTTGCATAAAAAGGTAAGCAAAAGTATTTTATGAGACCTTTCTTAGATGCTGGCAACTCAAAACTTTTATCAAGAAAATACTCAGTAAATAGAACATTATTTGTGAGATACATATCCAAACAGTGGCCTGGAAATCATTTGCTGGTTTTTTTCTAAGTAAAAAGTTACTTTTCAGGTTGTCGTTGATTAGAATATCTTTAAAAATTGATTGATTCTGCAGACAAAGCAGCTAATATATGCATGACAGCTCGTAAAGCCATAAACTCCTAATTTTCCTTCACTCATGATTAACCGATTTTTGCCAATCCACTAAAATGCTTGTTTATAACTAACCGATAAACCCAACCTTTCACAGAACTTCAGTCAGGGTAGTTCATTCTGCTTTCTGTCTTCACTTTTTGTAATCTAGCTTCAATGTAAAAGCCAAACATTCTATGTGCATTTGCTTACCCCAGATAGGTCTAAGACTGAAAATTATTCTTTTTGGTCGTCCATTTCCAGGAACAGATCATTAGACAATTAAATAAGGGCCATCACAGTTCAGACTGCTATCCAGGGATAAGCATATTTTTGTTCAGGCGTAGTCTAAAGCCAGATAGGTCAGTTTTTAGTTATTTTGCACACATTCCAGGGTGCAACTTTTGAGGTTCGTTCCAATTACTTGAAAAATGTTTGCCTGGCTTTTCTACTTTCTATTATCTATTGAGACATGATAACTTTTTTGAAGACAATTGGAAGCATTTTATTTAGAAATATTATTGAAACTGCTTTCTAAAATTGAAACTGATAATTGAATCAAATAAACTGCTTTGTCAGTATGGTCAAGCCAATAGTCTATTGTCTATGAATCTGTTATAGAAACTCCAATTATGACATTATGACAAAGATTTTCTTTATATCAGTCATTCAATGTCTATTCCGTAAAAGACTTTTAGGCGCAATGTGTGGTATGAGCTACAAATAAAAACCACCACAATTGAATGTTTACAATTCTTTCAGAATTTCTTTTCTAAACTTATTGTGAGTGGCACGCTTGGTTTGTCAAACGAACGAACGCTAACCCTCACCCAGTTAAAAGATTTGAATGGAAATGGATATCTTCTCATCTACACAAACTGAGTTCTTTAGTATGAGGGCGCATAGGATTGCTATATAAATTAAATATTTTTATTATTCAACAGAGCATACTGCATTTAACCAAAATTTTAAAGAGGTCTTACCTGATGTTGTTCCAATTGGAAGGGTGAAAGAGGTTTTCATTGCATTCAAAACCTCAGTGTTTCCATAATGCTCTGTCAAAATAGCCGGGTTGACAGATTTTCTTCGTAAAGAGTCGTACATCGTCTGATTTGAGAGGAAATAGAAATTTAGGAAATAAGGTTTTCTGCAAACTGGTTTAGATTTTGCTGTAGTCAAACCAATTATATCTTAACATGGTTACCCTCTCGTCAGTGATAGAACGATGTAGACAATGTCAAGAAAATATTTTTGGGCAATACGCTGAAGAATTCATTGAAAATACAAGTTTTTTTGGCACTATAAACGCTGCATCCCCGTCGACTTGACAAATCGTCAGGCTAGCACCCCTTCGGCAAACACCACATAATTTATTGATGCTCGTGCATTTGAGGATAAGTAAAGTGAAACATTAGAAAATCAGCTTGCTATTCTTCCTAATCAATTTTGTCTACACTGCATTCTGAAAAATGTTAAGAAATGCAGATGAAAATTCTACGTCACAATTGAAAACTTCAAAACTTAAATCTAGAAAGAAGTGTTGTATTTATCAGTTTTGGGAACTCACTTGAAGCCTCTGTAACTGTCTTCCCTTATCAGAGAGTTTTTCTGTTACTTCAGAGAGCCTTTGCTTTGTATCAGTGAGCTCCTTTGTTTTAACTAGAAAGAAGGAAAATATTTTTGGTCTTTGAATAAATAAATAGAATAGTCTTAGTTTTAAAGAAATAATTGTGAACTTGGGAGACATTAATGAAAATTACATTGACAGAAATATTTGTTAGCTACTTACTGTTCATTTCTGACTTGACATCTTGCATAATGTTAAGATACAACATTGGTAATCCATTGCTAACATATTCCAATCACAGATGAATTTTTTCAAGCATCTTACAGCTTGTTGTTAAACGATAACTTCTTGAATAATATAGTTTGCTCTTTAGCTAGGTCGCGGTCTATTGCAGTAAATTTGAGAAGCAAATTTTACAGAACATAGATGCTAGCTTTTTGCTAACTAGAAGGCTAAAAATAACCATTAAACTCGTTTTTCCCTTATAAGAACTTGTAGAGGGGACCCCATTTTTCAAGGAATCAGTTTCCCTCTCTAGATCACCCCTGCCTGACTTTGCAAACTTCAACTTCCTGAGCTGGGGGTTTTGCCCGAGTCTATGCTTGAGAAAAATACAAAGCAGGCAGATAAATTTCATCATTCTCTAGACTCTAGACGGATCTGTCGATGAAGAAATTCATCGCATCTCTTTTTATAGATTTTGGAGCTGTGAAACTCGCTTCTGTAGTTTGCTAATCTTATACTGCAATTTCCACATTTTCTTTTGCAACCGAACAATCTCCTCTTCACGCTCAACTGACGATGAAAAGGCCTGCTCAAGAACCTGATTCTGCTGATGTTGTTGTTGATTGAAACGAAAATTTTCTGCATGTGATAATCTGCTCTCATCTAAAGTTGCCAATGTTTGAGCAGAAGAATCATGATCCATTGTTAGCTTTGTCCCCATAAGAAACCTCTTAGTCTGCTTTCCGATCTCTTGGCTCTGTTTTGCCAGTGTCGAATTGTGCATGCTTGCAGCCATCCTTATGGACACTTTTGTATTATCAAAGCAAAAATCTAGCACTTCATGGTGAATCTACTTCTTCAAAATTATCTCACAACTTCCAATCTGGACATTATATATGAGTTACTACATTTCTTTTAACAAACTCTTTGCACGTGCAACTTATGAAGCTCTAACCGTTACACAAGCCCCATTGAAATTATGT